GGGCCGGGAGCAGAGGCAGAGCTGGACCCCAAGGTTGAGGGGCTTTCACCCAGCCCCTAGAGCCTGGCACTTTGAACTTGGACTTAAAGCCTCCACATTGTAAAAATAAACTCCTGTTTGTTAAGGCCATCCCATTTGTGGTATATTCTTGTCATAGTGGCACTAGGTAACCAGAACATATGCTAACCAAAAAATGTACAAAAATAAAAAAAAAAAAACAATGAACCTAAGTGTGGTTCATTGTAACCAAAATACCTTGTAAGTGTGGGACTAACTATAAAATATTTCTTTGTAGGTATATACCACAGTTTATCCACGTTTGAGTCAAAAGATATGTGGATCATCTCTGTTTTTTTGCTATTGCAAACAATGCTGCTGAAACATTTTTGTATATGTCTCATGTTCATATGCAAGATTTTCTTGAGTAGATTTCTTGGGTTGTGTTTACATATTTGTTAAATATACTAAGCCAATAATGGAAATAGATTGAACTTCATTAAATATTGCTAAAGGGGCAGGGGGCAGGGAGGCAGCATCTTAGGACCTCCTCTAATTCCACAAGAAGAAGACAGACTCACCATCAGCAGCCCAAGGCCTGTTCTTATGAAGGCAGACATGCCACAACCCTCCAGCCCTCTTACCAACTTTAACACCAACCATCGCTCTCATAGCACCCATCATCTCTCTGCTGGGTTCGATAATTCACTGCAATGCCACACGGAAATTACAGATTATGGGGTTTATTGGGTAAGCAACAGGTTACAATTCAAGTTCAGGAACGTGCTCAGTCTCTCTTAGCCAGCCATCTTTCTCAGCTGTCAGTGAGAGATTCCTTTCTGCCTCTAGCAGGGCTCATTTTATGCCTGGCAGAGTGGCAAAACTAACCAATCCCAACATTAGAGTTCTACACACCTGAGAGAGCAAATTTCCCAGAAGATTGCTTCAACAGAAATAACCTAGGTGGATAACTTTAGCAATCAGGAATTTAAATTGAGTGGTCCCACCCAGTAATCTGGTGGGAGTTACAAAGACTATGGCTAGAAAAGCCATACCATGTAATTTACTACACTGCTATACATAGTTTACAAATCAGGACAACATTTCGACTAGAGGGTCAAAAATATTCTGAAGATGAGAAGAACTTCCAAAATTCTTACAACTAATCTTATCAACATTGCCATGGAAAAAGGTCCAGAACAGAACTGATAAACAAATTTGTGGTCAGGAAGGATTTTCATACAGCACTGTCTTGAAGAGTAATTAAAAATAATTACTGATTTACTGGAGTTCCAGCAAGATGGCGGATTAGGCAGAAGGACTGCACAGACCCTCTTCAACAAAGAAAAGGGAAACCAATTAACACACACAGAGAAGATAATCTTGGACCCCTGAGCCTTGAGGGAAAGGATACAGAAGTGGACTAAACCCCAACTAGCAGAAGAATTTGAAAATTCCAAAAAAAGGAGACATACGGAGCTGTGGTCTGACAGCAAACTGAGCAACCCTGACAGTACAGGCAGCTTGGAGATTTTCGACTGGTGGGTAGGACCTAAGAATTAACCTAAAAATCACCCTGCTAGCCAGGGACTGCACAGACTGTGCACAGTGGCTGGGGAACAAACAGAGAAGGTGAAGAGAAATGTGGGCTGAGTTGTGGACTTTTGCCGGTCCGGGGAATGCTGCCATTTTGAAGGTTTAAAAAG